ACGCTGGGTGCTGTCCGGCCCCCCCACCCCCACCCTTGGCTGTGGGGTGGATGGGCAATGGTCCTGGGTAGCTGGGCCCAAACAACCTACCCTTCCACCACTGGAGGTCCCACCAGGCTATTAAAGGTGAATGTTACTGCATGGCCTCTGCCTCTTCCTTCTGTGGGGTGGGAGGGATGGGTAAGGTCCATCAGCAGTTATGATGGAACCGATGGAAGATGTTGGATTGCCCCACAACTAACTACGGGCTGCAGGTGCCTGGGGCAGCCGTGGGTTGGGTGGGACTGCACTTGAGAAGCAAGCAAGGACAGACAGAATCCACTGATCTCATCATAAGAGAACCGACGAGTCATCTTCAGGCTTGCCCCATTATGCCATGTGCAGGACCATGGATCTGGCCCCTGTCCAGCACAGCTCGAGGCCACAAGCCACAGTCCTTAAATGGACTGTGCTCTAAAACGGGTGGGATGCAGCCCTCCAGAGTAGGCCACAGCGCGCATAAAGTGCTCCACTCCCTCTGGAGGCCTGGCCAAGCTTGTTAGGGCGGAACTCCGATCTTCCGCAGAGGTGCGGGATCCTTCGCGCGTGCGCTAAGGAGCTGGCTGTGCGCGTGCGTTCTGCCGTCTCCCAGCATTCCGGGAGTGGGTGGGTCGTGTGACGTCAGATCGTATAATCCGGAAACGGAGGCCGCGACTGCAGTGGCTACCGAACTGAGGCCTTCTTTGGTGGGGGCGCCAGGCAGCGGAGAGATAGGGGGCGTGACCCGGAAACGGAAGTAAGACCCCGTCTCAGCTCCGGTGAGTGGCCCCTGCTGGGCTGCAGGTCCCAGTTGGGTGGCGGCGTAGGGAGGGGGTTTCTCGGCTGAGGCATCGGATGCCACGCCCTCCGCCCGACCCTGTCCTCAATATCAGGGTCCCGGAGTCTGCCTGCCTTCGGTACTCAGGCTCCCCGACACCCCCAGACCCTGTCCTCGGGGTGCAGTGTGCCTCAGTGTCTACGGTCTCCTTCCCCAGAGCCAAGCGCACGGCCCATCATAGACCCCCCCCCACTTCCACCCTGTTGGCATTCAGAGCACACCCCATCCTGTCCTCCCTTACCGGGAGTCCCAGCAATTGCCCTCTCCGCACTACTGAGTCCCAAATACTCCAGGGTGCCCACTCACGTCTGAGTCTCTGGTATACTCCAGGACACATCCTTAGGTCTGAAAAGAGCCCCCTACCACCTATGGGACAAGGTAATGGGAGCCAGAAAAGTGGTTAACTTTAACTTCTGGCTGTCCACTTTTGCCCCTCTGGGCCTCTCATTTCATACTGTCCCCAGCCCCAGCCCAACTATTTGACCCTGTTCTGACTTACTGTCCTGGGCCCCATCCCCTACAGCTAGGTGTGACATCTGTCCCAGGGCTGGCTGTGGAGTCCTACCACCATGGACCTGTTGTTTGGGCGCCGGAAGACGCCAGAAGAACTCCTGCGACAGAACCAGCGGGCCCTGAACCGAGCCATGAGGGAGCTGGACCGGGAGCGACAGAAGCTAGAAACCCAGGAAAAGAAAATCATTGCGGACATCAAAAAGATGGCCAAGCAGGGCCAGATGGTAAGTGTCAAGTGGTCAGGGGCAGGGACACAGGGCAAGGTGCCATCTCCACCACTGTTGTGATGAAGAAACACTGAAAGATAAGTTCTTGAAGAATGCAAAGTGAAGGCTAAACAGGGATGCCTAATTTGTGGGCTTAGAAAGGATCCTTTCACAGAATAGTGAGCCTGCAGGAGAGCTAGTCTCCATCAAGCAGACAGTAGCGAATGTTAGCATAGTAAACAGCAGCCAGTGAGCTAAGTGAACATGGGCCAGACCATTCAGGGTAATGTGGGACCACAGTGGTGCTGAGCTGGATGATTGACAAGAATTAGCAAACCCTGTCAGAAAAGCCAGAAGGCCCAGGACAGGGAGATGGGCATAAGAACACCAAAAAGGGGGCAAAGCCTTTTGTGGGTGATTTGGGCCCCAACAGTTGGTCAGAGGTACCATTTGCTGAAAGGTACAGGGAGCATGTGGGTAGGGAATAAAAACTGGATTTGCCAGGCTGGTGGGGCATGCCTTTAATCCCAGCACTCGGGAGACAGAGGCAGGCAATCTCTGTGAGTTCAAGGCCAGCCTGGGCTACATAGTGAGTTCTAGACCAGCAGGGGCTACAGGGAGACCCTGTCTCAAAAAGACCAAAAAAAAAAAAGAAAAAAGCCAGGACCTTGGATTTATGATTCTAGATACAGTCACAGTAGAAGCATCAGGATGGTTTGTTTTGGGGTTTTTCAGTATTAGGGATTGGACTTCAGGAGTCTGTGTGTGTAAAGCTCTACCACTGAGCTACATTCCCAGCCTAAGGCAGAACCTTTGTGTTGCCTAGAAGTCAAAACTTAGAAAACATTGTGGAAGTCCAAGAAAGTGACTCTGGACATGGAAGGGGATAGAGCAGTAAGGATTAGCCTCCAGCATACGATGATCAGAAAGAGGCCCACATTTGGGGCTGGAGATACAGCTCAGCTATCTGGCTAAGAGCACTGGCTGCTCTTGCAGAGGATCCGTGTTTGATTCCCAGCACCCACATGGTGGCTAATAACCATCCATAATGCCCAGTTCCAGGGTATCTGACACCCTCTTCTGACCTCCTCAGGTATTGCACATGGGTGCACTTATATGCAGGCAGTACTCATACACATATTTAAAAGGCCCACACCAGTAATCTAGGAAGACTGAGGCAGAATTGCGACTTAAAGGCTAGCCTGGACTACATAGGTGGCTGGAGAGTAATGTCCCTGAGTGGAGTGATCACTCGATCACTGGGGTTGGAGTTCACTTCCACCAAGATATTGGAGACCACAGCAGGAATGGAGCATAACCTCACAGCTTCATCCTTTGTAATTCTTGTCCACCCTGCAGGATGCTGTACGCATCATGGCAAAAGACCTGGTGCGCACTCGGAGATATGTGCGCAAGTTTGTGTTGATGCGGGCCAATATCCAGGCTGTGTCCCTCAAGATACAGACTCTGAAATCCAACAACTCAATGGCACAAGCCATGAAGGGTGTTACAAAGGCCATGGGCACCATGAACAGACAGGTGCGCTTCTCCCCACCCTTGTCATCCTCATTGACCCTTGGCAGCACATTTACCACTCCCCTCCCCTTCCAGCTGAAATTACCCCAAATCCAGAAGATCATGATGGAGTTTGAACGACAGGCAGAGATCATGGACATGAAGGAAGAGATGATGAACGATGCCATTGATGATGCCATGGGTGATGAAGATGATGAAGAGGAGAGGTGTGGGAATAGGAAAGTGGGGGTGGTTTCAAGGCCCCCACCCACTCATGGCTCACAGGGTTCCTCCTCTTTCCTAGTGATGCTGTTGTATCCCAGGTTCTGGATGAGCTGGGACTGAGCCTGACTGACGAGCTATCAAGTGAGTATCCAAACCCATTTTATTATCCACCCAAGAGTCCAGCCGCAGCCCTTTCCTGATCTGTGGCCTAACCCTCTACTCTGCAGACCTCCCCTCCACTGGGGGCTCACTCAGTGTGGCTGCTGGTGGAAAGAAAGCTGAAGCCACAGCCTCAGCTCTGGCTGATGCTGATGCAGACTTGGAAGAAAGGCTCAAGAACCTGCGCAGGGATTGAACAGCCCCCCTGCATGGGGCTGGATGCCAAGGGTCTTGCCTTGTCTCTCCTGTAATAAAGAAACTTGGACAGCCTTTGTGACTACCCCCCTGTAATAAATTTAAGTACTAATTTCCAAATGTGTGACTGGCCTTGTGAGGCCAGACACGGTCTGAGAGTTAACTCCACCGTGGCTGGCTGGGGCTTAGGACAGTAGGCAAGATGGCCACACATGAAATGTGTAAAGTGAGGACTAATCAGGTGTTGGCCCTGCTCCACTGCAACTCAGCCCAATTCCAAGATCTTCTGGGACAGGCCAACCAGATAGCTCTTTTTAAGCCAGTCATCCAAACGGGATGGTGGCATCCGGGTAATGCAAGCCTCCATCTTCCACAAGGTTTGACCTGTGATAGCCTAATATAATCTACACAACAGATGGTTATCAGCCCAACTTGGGGAGCCAAGATACAGGTCAATAACAACTGGCTCTCAGGATTCCAAATGGGGATAAGTCTCAGCACAGAAACCAGTTCAGAATAATACCTATCTACTGAGTAACTCCAGCCATGAGGTCACTGGCTATCTGGTGCACTTGAGGACTCACCCCACTGCCCAGGTCTGACCATGGCCAACACTGATAGGTCTCCAGTACGCAAATCCTTCACAGTAAATGGCCCCCTTCCCAAACCAGGGGCCAGGTGAGGTCCCAGAGAACATCATTCCCCATTCCTCCCAGAGGAAAAGGTCCCTAGGGGCCATCATTGTTTAACATTGATAGACAGGTACCAGACAGAGCCTAAATCCCCAGGATCACAGTACCCCAACAGAGGCCTGAGCCACTGGTGAAGTTTTTATTAAATCCACAGAAGTAAAAACCATTTTGTGAGAAGGGACTGAGGGATGGGGCCACCAGGGAGGAGTCAGGCCACCAGGGGAAAGAAGAGGGCACATGGGGTTGAAAGATAGACCAGAGCTGGGCCGGCCAGGACACAGGAGCCCAAGCTTCAGGGACCATCACCAGGGCCACCCGACAGCTCCTGAGAACTTAGGCCAGCACTGGGCAGGTTCAGTGGTGGGGGCTCCACCAGCACAGCAGAGAACTTGGTATCACCAAAGGCATCATTCATGCGCGTCTCAAAGAAGCGCTGCAGGCCGATGATGGACTGCACATCTGCCTTGTCCTGGAATCAAGTACAGTAGGTGAGTAGGTGGGTCCTGACTTTTCTTCCCCTACTGCTTCCTCCCCTTCATTCCACAGGCTCACCTCAGTCAGCTTGTTGAACTGTTTGAACATGCGGCCCACGTCTTGGGCAAACTCCTGAGGGGAGCTGTATGGGGGTGACAGCTTCTCTTGGAGGCGGGCACGTATCAGGGTCAGGTCCAGGGTGCCACCGGGCTGATCCTACAAGGAGAGACAGCACCGGCATTGAAAATGAGGCTGGCATCCAGCACCTCCCTGGTCAACCCCAATCACCCATTCTAGGGCTCACCAGGGAGAAGGTAGAGTCAGTCGCCAACTGGTGCAGGGGGCGGCAGGGTTCATGGCAGAACAGGGCCAGCAGGACGCGCTCACATTTCTAGACAGTACAAGAGATGTCAGGGCTGTAGCGTGGAGGAGGGCTACAGCTACTGGGCCACCCAACACCTGCACTCAGCCCTCACCCGCTGGTTGGCTGGAGAGAGCTTAGCCACCACGCCAGTACTGTCCGCCCCATCCAGGCTAAGGCTTCCATCTTCCTCCTTTAGGTCAGGGAGCACGTGGCAAAGTGAGCAGCTCCACTCTTCCCTAGGGTGAAAGGAAAGAATCTAAAAGATGGTAACCCAGTCCCCCATACCCGTCTGACCCCATCCAGCCTCAAACGCACCCTGGCACATCCTGCAGGGCAGGCAGGTGGCAATCCAGGTGGAAACAAAACTCGCACTGGTTACACATGACCAGGTCACCTGGCTTCTGGCAGACACGGCAGATAGTGGCACTATCATCCAGGGTACCTGGGCCACCCACTGGGGCTGAGGTACCCTCAGGAGCCACCACTTCCAGGCCTGAGCTGGTGCTGCCACTAGGTGAAGCCAGGCGGGGGCCCTCAGCACCAGGACCTTCACCCAGAGCCATCAACACAGGTTTGGTCTCAGGGCCCTCAGTAGCAGTAGGGGCCCCAATGGCAGCCTCCGTCTCTTCTTCCTACAAGATAATTAGAAGCATTCAAGAGTGCATATCTGGGTGAGAGGAGCCACTCTCCAATCAGTACTACACAAGACAGGCTCACCTTGACAATAGCCATGCCAGGAAGGGGTGGGGCACCGGGGGCTCCTGGGGGAACAGTCCCAGCCTGACCAGCAGCTGCAGCAGCAGCCCCACGCTCAATAACAATGAGGTTGTAGTCCTCAGTGGTGCTGCCTGGGAAGACCTTGAAAACTGGTGGCTGGCTATCAGCAGTCAGATCCAGATCCAGGCGTTCAAGACTCACACGTGGCACCTTTCGCATGAGACCACTCACCTCTCCCTCACCTGAGCGGGCCCTATAGGGGTAAACTGTCATGAGCATCTATGCATCCATCCCTGTTCTCACCCACCTACTACCAGAGGGCTGCCACTGTACTCACCTCTTCATGCCTGACACATGGGGCTCTGCACTTGAGTAGGGATCATCTGCTCAGAAGACAGAGAATGTGGCAGAGAGGGCAGACGAAATGTACTCACCAGGGCCTGTCCAATCTCCCAGGTAAAACCACTTACCTGACCCAAAGCCATACCCCTCCTGTACCTCCATGGGCTATATAGACAAAACAGCATGTGAACATTAGTGGGGCAGGAACTCCTTGAGACCCTGGGGCCATGCCCCACCCTGGTTCCTTTCCTCTCCCCACCAGCTTACCTGGCTACTGCCAGAGCCTTGCTTGCTCAAAGGTCCTGGGGCTCTTGGAGGAGCCATGGGCCCAGGACCTGTGGAGTTACTACCAGGACGCTCGGCCACAATCTTGCCTGGAAAAAAATCCAGAAAAATCGAAGTAAATGCAGTACCTATGTTGCTATGCAGGTAGCACAAAAGCAAAGGACTGGGACCTACCGAAGGCCTCGGCACTCTTGGTCCAGGCATTGAGGTCCCACTGAAACTTCATCTCACCATGTGGTTCCACAGGATCCACAATCATTTTGAGGGCACGATGCAGCTGGAAATAGATCTAGTGGGGCAAAAAGGTAGGGGTGTGAACATGATGGCAACTAATAGGGTTCCAGGGCACTGAGGGGCCACCTGTATGAAGCCCACCACCACACACCAGCTTCTTGGAAAGCAGGAGGGCCGTGTTGTTATCACTCTCTAGAGCCCAAGAGGCAAAGCGCAAGATGTGCTCCTGATGCTTCTGGATCTTGGTCATTGTCCAGTGCTGGCGTTCCAGACGCTCCTGCTGCCCCTCAGTCACCTTCTGCAGGGCAAGAGAAACCAGGTCAGTAAGGAAGGCAGGAGGGGAAAGATCTTCCTCCATCCTGGATGGCATCAGCAGAAGTTGCCCAACACCCTCCCACCTGTGTAAAATTTACCTGGGCATCATTGACCAGAACTCGGCCCCGCTTATTCAGCTCCTTCATGATCTGCAGAATGGCCATCTTGACATCTACCTGCACACGCTTCTGTACATCAGACACCTGGCGGATCCTAGCAGACAAGACAAGTCAGGCTAGGAAATCTTCCCCTGGGACCCCCTTAGCCCTGGCACCCGCACTTACGAGCTGCGAACCTCCTTGGTGTTCTTCTGCAGTGTGGCATGCTTATCCCCAAGGCGTTTCACCAGTGAAGCCAGCAGCTTACGTTGGTTCCTCACTGCATCCTCTAGGAACTGGTACCTAAGAAGAACAGATGAAGTAAGCTTGCATGCCAACCCAGCAAAGGATGGCATCCACCTACCCACTGTGCCTTGAGACTCACTGGTGGTCCTTGTGGGCGTTAAGCTGGCAGTCGCGGCAGGTCAGAGTGTCACAGCTCTCACAAAACAGCACAAGGGGTTCATGCTTGTGCACATTACAATAGACAGTGCGCTCACCATCTCGAGTCTTGGCAGGACCTGGAAAATAGCAACCATGCAGCTAGATCTTGCCCTTAACCATCTCCACCCCAAGCAGCAGTCAAAAACCCTTGTGACTCTATTTCTTGTTCATCCCACAACTTTGGCCCACCTATTAAGAGGAAAGAATCAACAGAGCTATCAGGAACATACCACACTTCTTTAAACTTACACCAGGAACATTGTAAAGAATAAATCAAGTCTATGCAAAGGAAATCCCCTTACTATTGAGACAGGATCTTCCTGAAGCCCCAGCCTAGGCTGGAATTTACTATGTAAAGAGGCTGGCCTCTAGCCCACAGATCCACCTACCTGTCTCCAAATGCTGGAATGAAAGGCATACTACACCACTATGCCCAGATCTATTTCCTAGAATTTTGTCCAGGTGACTACACTTCAGCACCTACAAAGCTGAGGGTGGCATATCACAAGTTCAAGACAAACTTGAACTTAACTACAGTGAATTAAAGGCTGGATTTGGCTTTATAGTTTAAAAAAAAAAGGGGGGGGTGTTGTGGTGCACACCTATTAATCCTAGGACTCAGGAGACAGAGGCAGGTAATCTCTGAATTTGAAGTCAGCTAGGGACAGAGTAAGACCCTATCTCAAAAAAGGAAGTTGTGGTGGTTCATGCCTATGATCCCAGTAGGGCAAAAAGAGAAGCCTAATTTACACGCTGAGTTCCAGAGCAGTCACGGTTATTATACAGTAAGGCTGTCTCCCCCAAAATGCCAGACAGAGTCACAAGTGCCTGCAATCCCAGGCCTTGGCATATATGGAAGCAGGAATTCAGGCCTGCTGAGGCTACAGTAAGCACAGGTCTTACTAAAGACTGGGTGTGGTGGTCTAGGCCTTTTAATCTCAGCATTGGGGAGGCAGAAACAGGCTGATCTTTTTAGGGAGACCCTGTTCCCACTCCACCACCCAAAAGTGACTGGGCATGTCAGTCCCTTCCTTTCCTGCCCAATGCTAATCCAGTTCAAGTCCAAACTGTTATTACTGAAGCACAGATCAGCTAGGCCTCAGCTTCTTTCATGTCCCCCAACCCTGGCACCCTGATCTGCCTAGAACTGCTCGAAGACAGAACCTGCGGATCCCTTATCACTCCTGGCTAGTCACCCTCTATCCTCCATTACTATCTTCATACCAGTGGTGTGTCATCTGGGCCTGGAAGAAACCATGCTATCACATGATGAGGATGTCTGGAACAAACCAAGACTTACTCCACACCAAAGCCACCATATACCCCTAAAAACCTGGACATGCCCACTTGACCATTAGTTAGGATGTTGCAGAGGCTCGCCCTTTTTGGAACCCTCACTTTTCCCAGCAGTCAAAGGCCAGGTGCCAGGGAATTCCCAAATCTCAAAGTCCAATATTGCTTCCCATTAGTTGCATAGGCTGAGTTGCCCATCACCAGGACCAGGACCTGGACCAGGACCCCTCTGAGGCCTGGCTTCCTTCAATCTTCTGTACCCACTGCAGCAGTCAGAAATCCTAAGCACTCCCTGACTGTGGCCTTTTTGCTCCCACCTAGACACCCAGAGTGTGCAGAGCAGAACCCAGGCATCCCAGTCTTAGGAGTTTTGCCCTCAGGCCCTCCAGGTGCCTAAAGAACCACCCAGTCCCACCCACTAAATGCAAATATGCATTATAAGAAACTAAGATAACTTCCACCCTCACATACCAGTGGAGCGCACAGTGTGGTCCTTGGTGTACTTCACCCGCTGGTGGGCCTCCACGCAGGTCTCACACAGTGGCTCAGAGCACTCCACACAATAGCTGGTGGCTGGGGCGTTATCCTCACAGCTAGTGCAGCACTGTCAAAGAAAGGCAAGGTCACAACAGGCAGAAAAAGCAACCTAAAATTAACACAATGTCCTGAAATCCGAACGGCCCTCCCAAAGACTTGAGAGTTGACACAGAAAGGAACCACTGAGGCGTCTACAGGCAGATGCCCCGTCCCCATGGGCAAGATGTCCTACAGGACACACCTGGTTGGCATCCTGAGAGTCAGAGGAAGCCTTGCTGCCACTATCACGCATGAAGTAATTCTCCACGATGTCTTTGGAGAAGCACTGTTGCTTGCACACTGGGCAGTCCACCACTGCTGAGACAGGGACGCGTGAAAACACTAAGCTGTACCCCCAATGGTCCTACTGGACCAGACTCCCTCTGCCATTCCTGGGCATTCATTTTCCTCGGACTTAAATCCGACATGGTCTAGCTCAGGGTCCATGCAGAGGCCAAGAATCCGCTCCCCTTGCACCACCGCCAGGCCCAAACCCTGTCCGGAGGGTCTTCCCCCCACCCCCAGACACTCGCACAGGCGCAGTCCCGAGTCCCGGCTGCAGGGAGGGGGAGGGGCGCCCGGCCACCCAGGACTCACCCGAGCCGTCGCCTGCAGCGCCGCCATCCCCCGAACTGTTGGCCGCGGCCGGTGCAGCGGGCCCCAGGCAGGCACTACAGGCCGAATGCAAGCAGGGGAGCAGCCGCGGCTCTCTCTCGGGGCGCAAGCGCTCGCGACACACGCCGCAGTGTTCCAGCAGCTCCTGCGCCTCGCCACCGCCCCCCGCGGGCGACGACGCCGAAGCCGAGGCCGCCGCCGACCCTGCAGCGGAAGACGCAGCCGGGCGCTTCTCGCTGCCCGCCGGACCCTCACCCGAACCCGGGCTGCCGGAT